CAACATTCAAGGTTCTTATACATAGCTTACCAACCAAGAGAAAGAAAAAAGCACCATCATTCGTGGGCTATACATGTCATGCTTACCACCTTTCTCATCATATTAATCTGACCCTTCGGATTGCACTAATTGGCCTCGCAGGAAAATATCAATGAAGGAGTTAACCATGGTTAGCAAATCATGAAATAATAGTTTATCAACCAAATAAAAGATGGTATTAAATTGGTTTTAAACAAAATTTAGAGATAGATAATCAAGGCAATATACCGGAAATTAGGTAAGTTATAAATTTTAAGATTATATACAATGAGACTATTTACTTTTGATACAAGGAAGTCACAATTATTTTTTTTGTACAATGAAGTCGCAATTACTTGTAACCATCTAATGTGAAATCTGATAGCTTGGATATGTCACAAAGTGTGAGAAATTTTCTTTTGAAGTTTGAGCTTAGTCAATGGCATAAATGCAACCTCCTAATTTTACGTCTAATGGCCAAAATTAGTTGTGACCACCTTATAGCAAAAGTAAATAATCTCATTCTATACTTTTCTAGAAATTTTATTGATATTTCAGATTTAGTGCAAAAAAATAGTGAAACATTGGATTTATATAGGTGACATGGAATAGAGTTACAATGCGCAGAGAGTGCATACAATGATTTTATTATGCCGATGTAATAAAGTTGTTGAACAATAATTTTATGTCATAAGTTGATCGTTTAGCGCCCTACCTGACAAATTTTTTGTCTAAATTTTTACTAAGCACAACAATATGGCATGCTTTCTGTATTTTTTATATATTTTTTTACAATGTTAAGAGCTATTATTGAATAAGTGCTTAAAAAGCATCAAATTACCAAGAGGGTATTAAAGCACTATAAATGAGCAAAGAAGATAAAGAAAATCCATGCCTTGCAAGACTATCGGCGACATCATTGGCTTCACGATAGATGTGGAAGATTGTAATCCGTAGCCCCGAAGTAGCTCACAGATCATGAATTTTCAACCAAAAACCGCGAAGCAACCAGGAAATCCGTTGTTCCTGCTTGCACCAATTAATGACATTAAAAAAATCAACCTAAAAAGCACAAAACATGTAATGGTTTGATTGGGAACTTAACAAAACAACCGCAAAAACAATACCAAACTAACAAGAACAACAACCAGCTGCAGAGATTGTTGTTTAATTAAAACAAACGAAAAGATGTAGGATTACTGTGTAACAATAATACCAAAATCCAAAAACATAAAGGGTGTGGTTTGTATAAGGCTGAGGCTCTAAACAATCATAGGAGCACCTTCAAATAGTGTCGAAAAATGTTCCAGTACTGGAAATCTTTGTGATGGCTTGAAATTTTATTTTAATATCTAATTATAAACTTTAAAGCTTAAAAAATAGTGTAGATCGAGCACATCTATAAACATTCGAAAATTGACAGTCTATAAAATGCATTCCAAGATGCACTATATCCAAAAATTGAAATCTATTTTTTCTCATATCCATATCTCGAAGTCGAGATGATCGATTTATGGCTTTTTGAGCATCAAAAGAACCTCTTCTAGTGAAGTTTTGAGGTGCACCTTAATTTGATTGTTTAGGGCATATAAACCTTTCCAAACATAAAATATTAGTCCATCCTGTACAACTACAAAAGAACAAAAAAAAGTCCAAAAAAAGGCTTAATCAAATAGAAGCCTTGATCATATCAAACAATCTAGGTAAGCAAGCATAAACATTCGTACCTCAACCACAGTTCCCAGCCACCTGAATGTTTGGCTACGACTAATGCACTCTCTTCCTCTATGCGATGGCGCTTTTGATTAAAAAAAATGAAGATTTTTCATTTGATGACTCTTCCTCTACATGTACTACATTTTCTGGAAATACGGGTTCATTTTTAGAATATTTTTTTAATACATTGTTGACTATTTTTTGAGTGTTGCCAATTTATTCAGGGAAATACATTTTATTGAGAATGCTTCGGTGAAACTTTTGATGACATTTTCAGTAAAATCAAGATTGTTGATTTAATCCAAAATCTTAGTAAGCATATCTCAAAACCAAAATTCAGAAGTTTCAAAAGGGTTTGAACTTTGAAGGACAAGAAAATAGTGGATATTTTCTCGGAAAGTCATTTTAGAAAAAGATAAAAAATGAAGATCTATAGTTGTTCCCTACATAATTCAATTTTTTGAAAGTCTTTTGTATGGGCGCACCTCAAAAATTTCACTAGAGGTTGTTTTGATGTCGAGATATCCTCAAACTGATCACCTCAACCTCAACATGCGTGGACATGAGAAAAAAAAATGGATTTCAAATTTTGGAAATAATGCATCTTGTAATGCATTTTTGGACCATCAATTTTCAAAATTTCAAGTTTCCATAGATCTGTTGAATCTACACTATTTTTGAAGTTTCAAATTTTATAATTAATGAACAAAATATATTTTAAAGTTATTATAAAGATTTTCAATATTGAAACTATATTTCTCTGACACTATTTGAAGGTGTGTTTTACTTTAATGGTTTAGGGCCAGGCTCTAATAAAACCGCACCCTTTTCTAAAAGGCCACATTATCGACAACTTGAGAACTGCCTCTTTTAATTAAGATATTCAAATTGCGCGAGGTCTATTTTTATTAGGACTTTTAATCCAGTAGCATAAGATATAGCTCTTCTAGTGGCTATGGTCAACTTTAAACAGAACCATATGCATTTTGATGCAAACAAAAAAACATCATAAAGATATTCAGTTTATGCTTTTTTGTCTTCTTATTTTAGATCTAAAACAACTTATCAAGACCGGACCAGATCAAAGTCCAACCATTAGTCAATGCTTTTGAAAGTTTGGTCTAACGCAAAAATTAAGTTCGAACAAAAACTAGTTAAATTTAATATTTGATTATTAGGATTTGGCAGTTTTTTGCTATTGGACAATCTAAACAAGGTTGGATATTTTTAATATATTTTATATTTTAAAATTATTTTTAAAAAAAAATGGTTTGATAGAGCTGCGGCCCTATTAGAACAAGTAAATCCTCACCTCATAACTTATTGAAAATTACGATTCAAGCGTTGGAAAACCTTTATATCGATCATCTTGGCTTGAACATTATGGTTGTGAAAAAAATTACGATTCTAAGCTCTAAATATAGTGTACATTGTAACAAATTATCTCGATCATCCATTTCGCCCTAAAAATAAGTATTCATAGATCTACTAGATCTGTACCGTTTTTTAGTTTCAAATTTTATTATCGGTGTTGAAAATTGATTTTAGAACCTCATTGATATGTATGTCGTCGAAAGTGCTTTCGGGACAAGGATTTAAGGTGAAGCTTTATTTTGTTTGCAAAAAACCTATATAGAAACTTTATCCATTTTTAAATATTCCTTTTTAAATTAATCCAACTTAAGTTTTGGGAGTACTAGTGGACCATAGTCTTCACAAATTCAATGAGAAATCTGACTCTGTAGCGCAATCTAATTTCTTTTTCACGAGATCCTTGTTGGCCATGGTTTGAAAGTTGACCCCATGTTTGAAAACCTGCCATTCTGGATCGTAAATCTGAATAGGAATAAATTGGGACATAAATGGTTTTAAACGTATGTTATGTATTTTAGGTCCCCTCTAGATCCCCCCACCCATAAACCTTTATTTTAATTTTGGGAAAAGTTTATATAGAGCCGAGGCTCTAAACAATCAATTTCTAGCTTGCCTCAAAAATTTTACTAGAAGAGATTGTTTTGATGCCAAAATATCCTCAAATTCATCATCTCGGCGTCAAGATGCATGGACATGAGAAAAAAATGGAGTTCAAGCTTTGGAAGTAGTGTATTTTGTAACACACTTTTGAACCGTCAATATTCAAGATTTTCAAGTTTTCATAAATCTCTCGATCTACATTATTTTTTAAGCTTTAAACTTTATAAATAAAGATAAAAATATATTTTAAGGCTATCAAAAAGATTACCAGTATTGAAACCATACTTCTCGATACTATTTAAAGGTAGGTTCTAATTTGATTGTTTAGAGCCTAGGCTCTATACAAACCCGTACCGTTTAATTTTTATGTTATTCATTTATTTTTAATATTTTTTGGATCATTAATTCATACCTGATCTAGGATGTCAATTAAGTTTTGGAAATAGTATATTTTGTGAGGTACTTTTGGACCGTCAATTTTCAAGATTTTCAAGTTTTTATAGATCTCTTGATCATACACTATTTTTTAAGCTTTAAACTTTATAAACAAAGATAAAAATATATTTTAAGGCTATCAAAAAGATTACCAGTATTGAAACCATATTTCTCGACACTATTTAAAGGTAGGTTTAAATTTGATTGTTTAGAGCCTAAGCTTTATACAAACCGTACCATTTAATTTTTATGTTATTTATTTATTTTTAATATTTTCTGGATCATTAATTCATACCTGATCACATGGATCTCTAGGTAAATGATTTGCCCCTTTGATCTCGGTTTTGAAACATTGGTTGAAAAGTTTGAAAGACGAGGCTCTGTAAAAGGTAATGCGTTCAACAAAAGCCGAAAGAAAGCAAGGATATCCCCACGCCCAAAATAGGGAATTTAACACTTTACGATTGTTGGGTGAGGGATCAGATCCTTCTTGACGTTCACCTCACTTTTTGGAGGAAAATAAAAACTCAAGAAGGTTGCTCTTACGTTAGAAAACTCTCAAATCAATCATCTCGATCTCGAGATTCATAGAAAAGAAAAAAGAAAAGTGAATTTCTAGTCCTAAAAAGAGTTTATCTTCTAACACATTATCTCCACCATCCATTTTCAAGACTTTCAAGTATTTGTAGATATGCTTGATCATCACCATTTCTAGAACTTTAAATTTCACAAATCGGAGCAGCAATAGATTTTTATATCATCACAAGGTTTTACGGAAACTACATTTTCGGCATAGTTTTGAAATGCACCTTACTTCAATAGTATAAAGTTGACACATTATACAAACCTCACCCGTTTTTGGAAGGTGGGAACATTACTCTCTCTCTCTCAATGCTAAACCTTACTCAAATAAAGTGCGCTATCCCCACGCCAAAGACACAATGCATATAATAATATGATCCCCTATGCGGGTCCACTCTTTATCTAGAAATGAATATCCAAGCATTTAGCTATCTTTTACAAGGATATTATTCCTTTGTCGTCCCTATTATTTTACATTAGCAAAAGGCATAATTTTATAATTTTTGACATACATTACTTTATACGAATTGCTAACAAAAACAAAAAGGTTAGTGGTCCACTGAGCGTCCATATATTCATGGTACATCGCCCTTGGAAGATCGAGGGGCAAGAGAGGTAGAAAAGGGAGAGGAAGCATCGCTTGGGCTATCCCCGTTGGGTATTTGTATGACAGAGAGCAACTCTTGAGCTGCTTCTCTCATGTTTGGCCTCTTGGTATTCTTCTCTTGAACGCATGCCAGAGCCAAGGCAGCAAACATCTTGATGCTCTGTGCTAGCCCCTGAGTCGCCGCCTCGCCGAGCAATCGGTGGTCGACCACCTCCATGATTGCCCCCTTCTCTGCTTTCTCGGCCACCCATAGTGCCAAGTTCACTTCCTCTTGCTCCCTCGTGAAATCGATGGCCTTCTGCGATGTTAACAACTCTAGCAAAACCACCCCGAAGCTATAGACGTCGCTCTTGTCTGTTAGCTTATAATTGCGGTAGTACTCGGGGTCCAAGTACCCGAGTGTCCCCTGAACGCAGGTGGACACATGGCTGAGCCCCGGCTCCGCTAGCCGAGACAGCCCAAAGTCTGCAACCTTGGCATTGAGCTTCTCATCTAAGAGGATGTTGGTGGATTTGACGTCTCTATGATAGATAGGGGTGTGCGCCGAAGAGTGGAGGTAGGCGAGGGCTTCAGCTGTCTGCAGTGCAATGCTCAGCCTTGAACTCCACCTCAGGAAGGTCTCAGCATCCTTTGATTGGAGGTGGTCATAGAGCGTGCCATTGGGTACATACTCATACACCATGAGCGGCTGCTCGGCTTGGACGCAGCAGCCCAAGAGGCGGACCAGGTTCTTGTGGTTCACCTGAGACAGGATGCCCACCTCATTAAGGACATGCTCGGTGCCCTTGGTGTTGCCCAACTTTGCAGACTTCACAGCTACCAGGGTACCATCTTTGAGCACTCCTTTGTAGACCTTTCCGAATCCTCCCGTGCCCAACAGCCGGTCTGGGGAGAATCCTCCGGTTGCCTTCTTCACCTCCTTCCACTCGAAAATCTTCGCAGACCTACCTGCTTTGCTCGCACTCAGAATGTCATCCCTCTCCTTAGCTACCCTTGCCTGGTTCCGTACTTTGCAAAAACCTCTCCTAAGAGATAGCAGCACCCATGCCGCGATCACCCCCAAGGCCGCAATCACCAAAAACAGCGTCAACATGATAATTTGGCTACGATGTCCAGCGCTGGAGGAGGAGGAGGCGGAGCCGGCTTTCTTCTCGGCACAGGCACCCAGTGCATGATCCCAGTCGTATCCCGCACTACAGATGCAACGCTTGATGAGGGTGCCTGTGTTATTGGAATACCGAGGCGAGCATGTGGATGCCGCCGAGCAATCCTGCTGGGAGCCGCAGACAGGCTCCGGAGGGGAGGCCCACTGGATCTCCATCCCTTCCTCCCACTCTGAGGCCGGCTCCGAGGGGTCTAGGTTGAGGATGCTCCTGTAGCCTCGACATCCACCATTATGAAGACGGATCTTATATGCAGACGGTGAGCCGCCGGCCACAAACGTACAACAGGGCACGTTAACAGCCTCATCGGAGCACTGAAGGGCACGTCGCGGATCGACTCTCCCAGACGAGGCCAAGTATCGGTGGCACAGACTACTCGGGGTGCAATTCAGCGGCGAGATCAGGAGCCGAGGGGAGCAATTGAAGAGGAAGATGGTATTTGTGGTTGTGATATTGAAAGGGAGGCTTTGGTTGAGCCAAACACCCTCACTAGCCACCATGTCCCGTGTGACACAGGTGCCTGGCACCCAGGGTGAGGCTTGCACCACCATGCGCTGCATGGTCCGGTCTATGCGGAGCACTCGATACGAGCTACGATTTAGGGACTCAAAGAAGAGTTGTTGCTTAGAGGGATCACAGAAAAGTTTGTAGTCTGGATCGCCACAGTTTGGCCCAGTGCTAAGGGGATATGGCACCTCCATGGCACCGCAATTGGGGCAGCTCTTTTGAGAAGTAGCCACCCCAATAAAGAGAAGTAACAGCATGGAGTTAAGAAGACAAGAGCATGTAGAATTCATGGCTGCCATATTTGGAAAGGGGACATGGGGTGGTGGAGGAAGTGGTGAAAAGATATATATAGGGAAGGGGGGGTATAAAATAAAGCAGTTAATGGGGGGAATAAAGTGGAGAAAAAAGTGAGGAGAATCCAGTGAAAGATTGGTGGGAGTGTGATAATTAACTGAGGATGCAGGTCGCCACTCCTTTGTTTCTTGCTAATTGCATTCACTTGTTAAAACTTTCCTTTTGCCTCCCATTCATTAGCTTCCTAAGTCCCACTCATACTTTTATCAATATATTCTCTCTTTCCATCTAACACTTTATTATGCTACATCTATCTGCCTTCACTTCTATGCCCGCTTTTTAAATTTTGAGATTATATACTTTTACAATCGTTTGTTTTGATATTATATGCTTTTACAATTGTTTGTTTCTTGTATAAGAAGTTCACACTTACTTCTAACTATTGGATGGAAAATACTTTTCTTTGGGTGACTGTTACATTCTTATACAACTAGACCATACTATCATGTACGTTTCTTTTTTCTTTTCTTTTTTCTTTTTTTTAAAAAAAAATAAACAAGAGGGCGAGATTTGGTATGCTATAGATCAGTGTTTGAAACCACTACTCAGGGTGAGTACTCGGCCCATGCCCGATCTGATTACTCACCTGAGTCAGAGTAACTCAGCTCTGCTAAATATTGCAAAAAAGGTTAAATAATAGAAAACATAAAAAATAAAAAAATAAATATATGTCAAAAATAATTTCTTTATTTTTTGAGGTTTTTTATATTTTTTATTTTTTTTAGTATCCCCCAAGTGAAATACCCAGAAACGCGGACTCGCCTAGGTGACAAGCCTGAGTACTCAGGACTTGAACCGAATAGTCAAACACTGGTAGACACCTTGGGCATGAAAAGGATTCAGAACTACTACATGCATTTAGAACTACAATCATTTAACAGAGGTTACAGAACTTTTTCGAGTCGGTTCGCTCTTTTGTGGTTAATGTGGATCTTCGAGTCTTCTATGTACATGGATCTTTTTGTTTGGAAAAATTACAAATAACTCTCAAAGTTACCCAATGAAAAAACTTTTTCATTTTTTATCTAAAATATACTTTCTTAGCAAATATCCCTCAACCAAAAAAAAAAAATCTAAACTATCCTCTTTTACTTTTAGCCACGCCTCTCTCTCCACTTTCCCACGAAAAGGCAGTCCGACGTATTTTTAAGGCAGTCCGACAACGTAATGTCGGTCCAGTAACGAACAATAGGGGTTCGGCAATACAAGTGGCAATTTGGCATTAACAAAGAATAGTCCAGCAATAGGCCCATGCGGTCCGGCACTGCCAAAGATCGGTCCGACAATAGGCCCATGCAGTCCAGTAATAAGCCCAAAGTGCCGTCCGGCAATGTCGAAGAGCGGCCTGGCACTTTTATTAGTTTAACAAGGTCCGGCAATGTCAAAGAACGATCCAACAACCCATTTAAACCCACGTGAATGTCCAACCAAAATTCAATTTTTATGAAAAAAAAAAAACATTTTCATCAAAAAAAATGTACTTTTTTTTGCTTGGGGGTATTTGCTAGAAAAATGCATTTTTGGAGAAAAAATGAGAAAAAAAGTTTAATTGGGGATAACTTGCTAGTCTTGAGGGCTATTTGTAATTTTCCCTTCTCTTTTTAAGGGTTGAACCTTCGACACCAAGAGTACTAGAATGAAGAGCATAATTTCACAAATGCTAATCCCGGAGGATACACACCAACAATCTCCAATCAAATTTGATTGGAATTTTCCAGCATACTCCATGATAGAAAAGAAAAAGGAAAAAAAAAAACACCAACTATTGAATTGGCAATTTGAACATTATAATCCCTATTCAAGAGGAATGAGCACCTGCAATGCTCAATCAAATCAAACCCAAACCCAAACCCATCCGGTCTGAAAACACGGTTACATAACTATTCTGAAAACACGGTTACAGATGACCCCCATAATCCATAACATGAAAAATAGAAGAAAAAACACCATAAATAAAAAATAAAACTCTAATTATTAAATTGGCTCAAATATCATAAAGATATTCAAGGAGGATACACACCAGCAATATCCAATCAAATCAAACCCCCCAAAACCAACCTTCGTAAATACATGGTTAAGCAGCTAGTTTCAAGAGTTTCCAAAGGAAATTTCGATAAGGGAAACTCCAATTCAAAAACAATTGGCATCTTTAATTGATTGCATATCAGCCCATTTTCCATAACAAAGTGAGAGAAACACCATAAAAGAAGAACATAAAACTCCAACGATGAAGTAATCAAATATCATATCCCTGTTTAAGAGGGATGGCCACCTTTCAAAAGTTTCCAGGGAAATTTTGGTAACAAAACTCCAATTCAATAACAATTCACATCTTTATCTGATTTGCATCATTTCCCCACAAACCATTACAAAGATAAAGAAAACACATATTCGAAAAACACCAGCTGTTAAATTGGATGGAACCAATTATTCAGTCAGAGAGTTTTCTTCGCAAGGTTTTCGTATAGAGAGTTACAAAATAAAGAACATCAATTTCATGTCCCGCCATACAAAGAACTTAAATCCTCACCACCTACAAAGAATGCTTTCAAAACTTGAAATAAAGGATACAAAAGGAGTTCCTTCTGACTAAATTATGTGTCCTACCACCCATCCATTCCCTATCCCTAACAGTATAGTGCCTCAATTTAAACCCAATCCATTGAAAAGAATATGAATCAGACCCCAATGAAAAGAACATCAAATCCTCTGATCTATATCACTCGCTTTAACTAACAGCCACCTCAGTAGACAAGTAGTTGGTTTGAAGCACTTCTTGGCTTCCCACTTTGGCCTTGGAGAGCTTCAACACTTGCACTGCTTCTTCAATTTTGTTATTCAATGAATCTGGAGACTCCAACAACAGTAGCAGCTCGCTATTGTCCATCTCTAATAACATCCCCGTTATTTTCCCAGCAAGATCATTCTGAGGACAATCACACACTAATCATTATATATGTCCGTCAAGACCCAATTGAAGGTTTAAATAAACATTATACTTCGCTGTAATATGAAATAACAGCTTTGCCATAAACATTCTCTCTAACTTGTTTCAAAAGTTATTATGCATGTTATTATGGTAACAGCCACAGCTGTTACAGCGCTGTGATGTCACACCTTTACACCCTTGGAACTCTCTATCTTCGGTGAGTTCAGTGTTCAATAATTCTAGCATATAGGAATCACATTAACCATGCTCCTATGGAAACTAAATGATAAATTCTGAACAGTTAAAAAAGAATGCCTCAAATAGTTTGTGCAACAAAACATGCCACATTGGTTTCTTTAAGTAGACAACCGTTTTACTCTTGGTCTTGGAATGGAAAGGGGCTGGCAAGAGCCCCTATTCCCCCACACCAAATTCCCTTAGGAATTTTAGCTCAACAATGTGAGGAAGGATAAAGTATATCCAGGTTCTCTGCCTGATCTATTATAGTTGCCAGGCTGCCCGATTAAGGGATGGACAGCTTTGGAGACAAGAGATCTACCACTTATATCATGTCAACTCTAACAACTTTCATCCATTGATTGGACAATGTCAAGATGAGCTCTACCATAGTTCATGTAGAACTCAGCTCCACCTGATCATTGCTCTATTAACATTCCAGATTAATCAAGATTTGATAACCACAATCTTCATGGCTACAACTTGTATTACACAGTGTTAGGCCTTGGCGATCACAGCAACTATCCCCATATTTTTAAATCATAGCTGTGAGGCCACAATAATGGCCACTGTAGACTAAATGGCTATTGCCCATTATAATGGAATAACACCGATTTTAAAACCCTGGGTCTAATATATTTCAACAAATTTTATAGTATGATCAAATGTTTTAAATAACCAATAACAACTCTATGGGTTTTAGAATGATGAACATGAGGGTAAACAAGTACGTTGTAATAGAGAGCTCTCTCGAACTAATAAAGTTGTTTAGAATACCGACTGAGGACAAAAGTCAAAAAAAAAAAAAGTCTACACAGCTACTTCTAAAGACAAGTACAGGCCTATGCAGTTTTCAGCCTTGTCTGTTGCCCCTGCCTTAAAAGAAGCAGGTGCTTCAGGAACCTTTTAAGACACTTGTCATAAATTTGAAGGAAAAAAAAAGGCATACCTTTTGCTTCTTAACAATGGGGAAGAGACGCTCGCCAAGAATATTCTTCTGTTGCTGCGGAGTAGCAGCAGCAAGCAGGCTATTAAGCATCTCGGATCCTTGAGCTCCGCTGCCATTTGAAGAAGCGGCTGTTGATGATGGAGCCATGGATTGCCCATCACTTATCTCCCATGATCGTCCATTTGGTGTGTACTTTGAAGCGTGTCCATTCGATGTGTACTTCGTGGTCTGCCCATTATGCTGGGGCATAACCAAACATTTCCAATTAGAAAATCATTCATTCCAATCATATACTGATTAGAACATAGTTAGGAGTACCCTGTTTAAAACACAATCTTTTCGAAAGGACAGGACTGCATTTTGTTAAGAAATGTTTTCAAAGGCATGGTTTGACAGATATATTCCAAAAAACTCATTATTTGAAGAAAATGAAATATTGGTGCATTATATAACATCATCAAAAAAAATTCTGAAAAAATCTTCTCAAAATTGCATTAAAGTTCCATACTCCAATCTCTCTCTCGTGGTTCATGGAATAGAGACCCATCTCAAATTGCATTGAAGTTCCTTACTCAAATCTCTATCTCTCTTGGCTCATTGGACAGTGGCCCATCTCTCTCTCTCTCCTCTCTCTCTCTCTCTCTCTCTCTCTCAATATTTCTTGGCTCTTACATTTCATCTTCCAAAGCCTTGTCATAGAACTTGGTATTCATACTTTACAACTTTAGCCTTAATCAATTTTAGTTTGTGGCAATTTAGCCAGAGAATTTTAATAAGTCCAAGTTCTAGCTGGCAAATTGAAAATCATATATAGTTTCTCAGTTTTTTAACGACATTATAATTATGGCCCGAATTTTTCACTATATTATTTTGGACAAAAAAGAATTATTACTGATTTTGTTGCCAACAGGTTTATTGTCGTTAGGTGATTTGCTAACTAAGATTAGGACAGACTGAAAGGGATTTAGCCAATTAATTACTTACAGTTGCATATTACCTCTTTCTAGACGTGTCAAGAATGCTCTCCAACAAAAAATCAAGGTTAATGATTTATTGTGTCCTTTGTTTGCAGTTTAGACAATTCTGTCTCCATTGTAAATTAACTGTGGTAAGCCATATATACATGTTTCAAGTTGGGCTCTCAGTTTCTCATTGTTTGTTTCTTTCTTTTGCCACCACATTAAGAGCTTTTGAGTTTTTCTTTTTCTATTTCTCAATTATCTGGCTATTACACAAGAAATCACCAAGTTCCACACTACGCCTTGACAAAGGCTTCACATACCTGTGGATAATAATCATCCACATTAATGACCTAAGTCTTGGCAAAGGCTAAGTTTTTCCTTTTTGATAAATAAACCTGTGGATTTGCTTCTTGAAAACACATTCTCTATTGTTATACCGTGAGCCTAACTTTTTCTCCTTTGAAAAATACAGTAATTCCAGGAAATTGGTGGGGAATGTAATTTCAGCAAGTTCCACAAGAATAACAAAGCATTATTGAGACATGCTGTAGGCTGAGGAATATTATAATCACCCACTAGTATGTGGAAAAGATGCACATCAGTAATGTACTTGTAGCAAGCAATGCAAGAAAGAAATATTCTTCGAACATGTAGATAATAAACCAAGTAATGTATGAAAAATAAAGTATGCTCCAAACATTCGAATAATTGTAAATAGAAAATAAGATTTAAGAGGTGTCAATAAGGTCAGGTTGACCGGACCTAGGTCCGGGTCAGAAAGACCGAAACCTTAAAATGGACCAAGCGGGTCAATCCAGGTCCAGGTGACCTGGACCCTACCTGGGTTGGGTCGGGGTCAGGATCCAATATGGGCAAATTCGGGTCGAGTTGGGTTGGTTCCAGGTCTAGGTCAACCCAACCTGACCCTTATACACGTGTAAAATATGCAATTCTAAATTAAATGGATATTTTATATATAATATTCTTTTAATATATCTTGACCGAAGCCCAACCCAACCCAACCCAATTGGTCGGGTCCAGGTCAATGGTCAAATTGACCTGGACCCGAGCCAGGTCTATGTCAGGAATAGGTCTAACTTAGACCCAATCTGATCCAGTGAGAGTCAAGTTCGACCCAACCTGTGTACAGCCCAAGTAGAGATGGGCTCAAGTACAAAAAAGATGCATCCCGTTAGCCTACACATAGATACAATTTCAGCAAGAAATGAAAGAAGATGAGACATTGATTTAGGTTGTAAACAAGACTAAGAAGAATTCTTCAAACATGCCTCTTTTTTTTAACACATAGTTGGTAGACCTACTGAGTTCATATGTAGAAAATCTTTTAAGTAAAGGGTGCAAAGGCTCACCTCTAAGATAAATTCATGATAGTTGTCTGACCCCAAATTAGCTAGGGAATCAGCCACAAACTTTCCAAGATTGTGATCCAACAGGACCCACAGTCCACGAGTCAAACAACCTCGCCTCTAAGGCTTGCACCAACAGTACAAGTTCATTTCTAAGTGGATTAGGCCATTAGGGACAACCTTAGATCACTACAAATTGTTGACCCATCTAGCCATTGCCTATTTCTACAACTATAGAAGATGCTAAGGATCCCCTAGTGATCATTCCATCCAAGTCCAACGAGTCATTCTTGTTCAGCCTGAACAAATCAATAATTGTAGGTGTCCAAGTGACGGGCCATCAATTGAACAAATCAATAATTGTAGGTGTCCAAGTGACAGGCCATCAATTGGCCATCGAACCAGTGAGGCATCTGGTCCAGTCAAAATGGGTTAGACCAACGATTGAACCAACTAGACCAACCGGATCTTAAAAAATAAAAGAATATAGAAGTAATAGATAAAAGATATAGAAAAAAGTCCAACTTCATTGAACCAGCCAAACCTGGTTGGTCCTACTGGACAAAACTGGTAAAACATTGGTTTTCAGTAATTTATGACCAAATCTAGTGGGCCAAACCAACCAAGGCAATTGTCGGCGGGCCGACAGATTCGACCAGCCGATCCATTCTGGTCTAGATAACTATGCTATAAACCACACAACACAGACAGCATTTAGGTTGTGTTGGCTAATAAGGTCGAGTCAACTCGAACTCCCCATAGTCGCTCAGACTCACCATAGTCGCTCGGGCTCAGCAGGTTATCAAGCCCATAATACCCTTAAACTCAGCGGTGTATAAAAAAGTGTACAGTACTCGAGCAAGCATGTAGTAACTCATCCAAGTATCTCAAAATCATGAGCAAGCCGCTATAACTCGACAGAGTTTGACACTTTTCAAGAGCGACTAAAATATGAAGGTGAGCAGAAATCAGTCACACATTTTCTTTCATTTTTTTTAGTCAAATAATCATCCATTGGAGCTCAAATTTTGCCCATAGATATGTTATTCAAGACCTATCTACTACATAGATTGGACTTGAGTAAAAATCATTGTTCGCAAAATCACCCGATCTAACCGCTAACCGCTCGGTTAGATCGGAACCGACAGTTTTGGACGGTTAGGGTGATCAACCGATATTTTAAAAAAAAAATCAAAAATAAGGAATTTGATTTGTAATGCATTTTTAAATATTCTTTACATTATGGTAAAGATTAAAATTTGTTTTGGTCATTAATACTCACTTTTATATTTTCCCATCTTTTTTAGAAAATTTTAAAAATAGCCATTGGAAAATATAAAATGGGTTAAAATCCATTTTTTTCATTAATTTTCAACTTCATTTGAATGTTTTTTGTTTTAATCATTCTTTATATGCTTTTCATATTTTAGTAGATTTTTTTATTATTTTTCGACACTTTTTTTACTGTCGGGACTTGCCCGGTTAGAGCGGTTAAATCAGCCGGTTTACCAATTAGGCAGGTTAAACCGCTTCCAAGCCCATGTCCGGTTAACTGTTCCGGTTCGATTTTGTGAACACTGGTAAAAACTATAAAATTTGACACATTTGAGAGATGGAAGATTCCAAACCTAAATTTGCCAGATCTCAAAAGTAGCAATTACTTCACAATGGTTGGTTAATCTATAATGAAGTGTGTTCCCTAAGCTTATTTTGGTTTACAATCTAATTATAGGCAGTCTCTCACAAGGAAAACATGGAAAATCTCATAGTTGTCAGATTTTTAAATTCGGATATACTATTCATCAGAGTTTTCTAAGAGCTCAAATCACACCTAGATCTGAACTCAAAACCCAAATCTGGTTTGCAAGTTTTAATTGGAATTGTCTAAGAAACTTTGACAAGGACACATTGATTCACTCTGAACCCGAAGATTGGGCAATCAGCCTTGAGATTATTAATTTTATATTTTTCCTAATTATAGTTGATTTATGATTAATACTATATATACTTTTTATTTTTATATTTTTTTTCTTTTTTCTAATTTCCCCACTTTTTGAATTTTTTCATTCTTTTCCAAGCCAATACCATCAAGTTTTTTCACATTCAATGTTGTATATATTTTTTATTTTGTATATTCTTTAGAATTTTTTCCATTTTTCCAATTATTTCATATTTTTTTCGTATTTTTTGCTATCTTTTCAATTTTTTTGGGCTCAACATGGACTCAGACGAGTCGACTTAGACTCACTTGAGTCCCTCGGATTGCCCAAGGGATAAGTTCCTGTGGTCAAGCCACTTTTGCTTAGCTGACTTAGATATAAATGTCTGCTAGTAACTATAAAGTTGTTATTGGTATTAAACAACTGCCAATCTAGTTTATGATAAATTTGGTTCACCACCAATAACTTCAACCGTGGTACTCATCTCAAGCAATTCATTCCAAATTCAAAATTAATATGTATTAATAATTATGATAGTGCATAGTTCTTTATTGTTCCATACAAATTTATTGAAGAGAACCTCAGCCATAATGTCAAAACAAATGTTATAACCAGGGCTACTTAGATAATTTGTCCCACTCAAGTGGCTCGATCTAAATTACAAAAGAAGAACCTCCAATTATTCAGTGTTGGGAAATAAAAAGTATAAAACAACTAAGGTTATTTTTGTACTTTCGGATTGTAATTTGGGCTTGAGCCATATCAGTGATGTAGATTACAAGAATGACCCTAGTTGCTCAGGTTCCCAACCTTAAGGGGAGTTAAGGACTTTTTGGACAATTATTTTGAGAAAATGTTTTATGAAATAAAATGTAAAGAGTAAACCCTGAAGTGATAAATGGACCTTTTGACCACTTTAATGATATTGTAAGATAATTTAAGCCCTTTAATGATATTTTACCTAAATAGAAAACCCACGATATATCTAAGTACTTCATTATTTCTAAAATCCTGGGTTTAGTTTGACAAATATATAATGTTTCCAATGTGGTAGCTCTATGGTATACCTTAAGTGAAGAGTTGGGCTCGATGCCCAAAAACAATATTCCCTCTTAGAATTCTTCGCATCAGAATTTGAAAGATTGGCCAAGTTTTTCTCAGTTCACCATTCAACCTAACAGGTTTTCAGCCATGACCAACTCAGCCACCATGTTCAAATTTTAAAACTGGCTACACCTATGATATTTGATTGTATTAATGCCTGAAACATGTTCCCCGTCAACTACCACAAATTCTTTCACAACCAACTAGTCTTCTGTTCATTAGAAGAAAAATTGCAAAAACAAAAAGAGTCAAAAGGTTAAGGTGATAGAGTAATTAAGGTGGACTTAGATTCTGACATTACTGAGTTCAGAGCTTATGAGAAAATGGCATTGCATAATGAAAAATAACAACTAAAATGAAAAGATACTGGTCAAGAGTGATAAGAGCTCCCTACTCTAGATCATAGTGTCAAATTGACAACATATGGATGACCACAGGTCACTTGAACTAAAAAGGGAGACCCAAAGGTTAGTCATGTTTTTTGAATAATACATAACTTCGTTATTGACCATGCAAGTTTCCAAGAGTAACACATGAAGCAAAACAAGGAGATGTGCAAGACCAAAGGAAAAAAGAAAACATTCTAAAGCCATATTCAAGAAACAGAGAGAAAGTAGTACCTGATTACTTCCAGTATCCTTCAATATAGCCAATGACTGAGCTGCTTGTTGCATGTTTGAAATAACTGATGCAGTCTGACCGTTCTGAGTCTGAAAATGCCCATTTGAGCGGCCCCTGTTTTGCCTATGATGCCTTTGATTATTGGGTACCTGGAGAATAGGAAAATTTATGTATAACAGAAGAATACAACACTCGTGGATAAATAATACTAAACTTTCAAGGAAAAGTATACAGGACTATGGAAGATACGGTACTCCATAGGGGGCTCCTGAATAGAAGATTAATTATACCTAGGTGAATCCAATTCATTTTACCACCATTAATCTCTAAAGTCCATGATAAGGAATGGACAGTGGATGCCCATTTGGATTACCATAAACCATACTCCCATAGATTATGGTACCATAGTTTCCCAAATTTTGAATTGTGAACCTCTTACCACGGGAATAGGAAGGGGCTGGTAACCTTGTCCAGTGTAAGGAGAGAACACATTAGGCCTCCATGACGATGATCTTAAACCAAAAGGTTGATACATAACTCCCTGCCTCGGGGCCATTTGGGACATAACAGATGGGGATGGATAGTATAGATGCTGGTATGGAGGAGGGACTACAGTTGCTGCTTGCTCCGATAACCTGGAATACTGGAGCTGCAACTGTGCTTGCCGCTCTTCTTTGCGTTGTGCATGAGCAACATACAGAGGCTTGTCATGGAACATATGCCCTGTGCATAGAATACAGCCATTTGAGGTTAAGAAATGGACTCCAGAAAATAAAAAATGGCATGCTTTAAAATAAAGAAAGTGCAACCAAGCCTTTCAGAATTATGTTACGAGGATAGGAGTTCTAGTCTAGAGATTGCAACGTAAAATTTTTGAAATAGAGGGAGAGTGATAAAGTGGTGTGTTTTGAAATTTACCATGAAGTGTGACCACAGCTTTGTTGGCTTCCTCAGTGGAGGAAAAGCAAACAAATCCAAACCCCTTACTGAGTCCTCTATTGTCTCTCATCAGTTTTGCAGAAGTAATGGTGCCACATTGACTGAAATGTTTTCTCAGCTCCTCATCAGTGACATTATCATCAATGTTCTTCACGTACAAATTCGACCCCTGAAAATGGAGAAGAAATGTCACAATAAGCAAGATATAACAATCAATTAATTTATTGGGTAGTTATATCTTTTTTACAATATACATGTATATGTGCGAGTGTTTATGTTTACAAACCTATATATACACGAGTTTTGTTCCACCATTCTGCTCTATCAAGGTCATACCCTCAGTCAGGCCATAATTCACCATATATCTTCTCACTACTTCTATCCATGTCTTTTTAAGCATTCAGCAAGCCTTTTTTGAGCCTTCCACTTGGATCAAATCGCCCCTCCTAACATGTGCTATATTAGGTATGCACTACACATGGCTAGCCCACCTAAGTCTACTTTCCCTCATCTTATCATCTGTGAGAGCCTATATATTTAGGTCTACACTGCAAATGGCTAGCACACCTAAGTCTACTTTCCCTCATCTTATCATCTATAAAAGCCTATATATATACATATATATAAGAAAAACCTAAAAAATACCTATAAGCAAAATGCTACAGTATTTCGCCCCTCAACGGACTTGCTATATCCAAAGACGGTATTTCAAATGGAACCGCAACAGACGGCACGTGGTCCGTGGTGGTTTCCACATGTTTTTTGACCACCACGGACATAGCATGTCCCTGGCGGTAACGCCACAGACATGCTAGGCCCATGGCAGTCAAAAAATCCACGCCGTCCTAAAAAAACGGACATCAATGAACAGATAGGTGAAATCACTGTAGCAATTCGCCTATAGGCGTTGCGTAGTCTCTTCTAGATATATATTTATAAATCACTGTAGCATATCGCCTATAGGCGTTACGTAGTCTCTTCCAAATATATATATATATATATATATATATAGGGAAATGTTTATATAGAGCCGAGGCTCTAAACAATCAAATTTGAGCCTACATCAAAAATTTTATTAGATGAGGTTATTTTGATGCCCAAATATCTTCAAATTAATCATCTCAACATCAAGATGCATGGACATGAGAAAAAAATAAATTTTAAGTTTTGGAAATAGAGTATTTTGTAACACATTTTTGGACGGTCAATTTTTAAGGTTTTCAAGTTTTTATAGATCTATTAATCTGCACTATTTTTGAAGCTTTAAACTTTATAAATAAATATAAAAATATATTTTAAGGCAATCACAAAGATTTTCAATAGTAAAATCACATTTCTCGACACTATTTGAAGGTAGGCTCTAATTTTATTATTTAGAACCCTAGGCTCCATACAAACTGCACCCCATATATATATATATATATATATATA